GGCTCGGAGGCGAGTGCTGGGCTCCGTGCGGCCCCTGGCTGTGTTCGGGACCTGTGTGTCAATACGAGAGGACCCGGCCGGGAGAGAGCGTCCCGGCCCGGGCTTGGGCCGCACATTCACGTGCGCGGCGGACCGAGCCGTGGTGACGATGGCGGGGCCACAGACCCTGGCGCTGCAGCTGGAACAGTTGTTGAACCCGCGACCGCGCGAGGCGGATCCTGAGGCCGACCCGGAGGAGGGTGAGGCCTGACTAGGGCAGGCCACGTGCGGAGCTGTAGGCTGGCCCGGGGCGGGCCGTCCGGCCTCGCCGCCCGGCCTACTGTCCTTCTAGTGCAGAGGATAATTGCCTCCCGCGAGCGTCAAGAGGAGGGCTTCGGCCTCCTTTGACGCGTGCTCTACACTGGATGCTCGGGTAGGGGTGGGTGTGCGGAACATACCGAGGACTCAGGTGCGGAGCTGGGCGAGGGCTGTAGGAGGGGGCTAGCCAGAGAGTCTGGTAGCGGGTTGGGAGTTATCTTTCTGGATACCCTTACTAGTATTGCGTTAGAAAGGAGGAAGTCTCATCAGTTTTTTGTATTGTTTTTTTTTTTTTAACTCTAGTTTGGAGAATGAAGAAAGAAATAGGATTCTCTGGTGCTGTTTAAGCCTCTTTAGGTCTCAGGACACTTGCTTCAGGGGCTGACGACTGAGACTGCTGTTCTGTAAGCTGATGTTCAAGGTCTAGCTGGGAGTAATCCTGCTTTAGACTGGAGTCAGAGAAGTGTGAGGAAGTTGAGAATAAAGAGGGATAAGTGTGAGTGCTGAATCTTTTCTTAGGAATATCAGTTGAAGGAACTAGGGGCAGTTTAGCCAGGATAAGCGAAGAATACTCCCTGAGGGATGAGACAGAGTGAGGATGGAACATGGCTAATTTAAGATATTGGAGCGACTGTCACATATGGAAGAGGAATTACACTAGTTTTATATGATCCAAGGCATAGAAATTTATCATACCAGTAGATGCAGGGAGTCAGCTTTCTGTTCAGAAAGAGCAGTAAGACAGTATTCTACTTTGGGAGGCAATGAGTTCCCTATTCCTGGAAGTTGGTGGAGATTGTAGAGGACATTTCAACTTGAGTTGAAAGGGTTGATCGGGGTTCTCATTAAAGTTCCTTCTAACCTGGAGATTCTGATTACTTTTCCCCCTCCTCCACAGCCACTGCTGCCAGAGTGGTTGACAGGTTTGATGAAGGGGAAGATGGGGAAGGTGATTTCCTGGCAGTGGGTAGCATTAGAAAACTGGCATCAGCATCCCTCTTGGACACAGACAAAAGGTATTCTGGCAAGACCACCTCTAGAAAAGCTTGGAAGGAAGACCATTGGGAGCAGACTCTGCCAGGTTCATCTGGTGAGTAGATGTATTTGCGTGGACTCTTTCTTCCCCAGATTTTTAGGGTTAAAATCTTTTTGCAGGGCGGGGAGAGGATGATCCCTGCAAGACTAGACTGGGTGTTCCTACTTATTATCTTAGGAGAGGCCATTGATTTGGTATTAGAAAGGGCCTCAGAGCTTACTTCATTTCACCTCATAAGGAGTCTAAAACCCAGAGTGATTAAGTTGCTGTGCTCTTTATATTCAGACTAATGGTTCACCCCAAAGTGGGTGAAAAGACAGTGCATATTGGATATTGGAGAGGGCAATGTGTTGAAAAAGCATTGTGTCTGATGAGCATGCTACTCTGGATTTGGCCCTTTTCCTTTGGTTTTTCAGGTCTTACATTGAATCACTGTCTATAATGTTAGTTGAGTCCCTGTCTATAATGTTAGTTATTTGTGAAACTCATTTTTTTGCCATTGTAGAAATAACATAATTCTTCCCTCTTCCCTGCAGGAGAGTTACGAGGGTGTGAACTTACATTTTTTTTTTTTTTAAAGATGACCAGTAAGGGGATCTTAACCCTTGGCTTGGTGTTGTNAACCAGCCATCCCTATATAGGATCTGAACCCATGGCCTTGGTGTTGTTATCAGCACTGCACTCTCCCGAGTGAGCCATGGGCTGGCCCTGAACTTACAGTTTTAAAGAATTATAAGTTTCTCAGAGTGGAATAAGGGGTGTGGATATGGTGATTGTTGAGAGGATGCTATTTGTTTTCTTTTAGAGAGGTTAGGGCAGCCATGTTGAGGATACACTGATAATATGAAATAAACTATCATTCAGGTTATGGTGTCTATGATTTAGTCCTTGATGTAGTTCTGGTAGCACCTGATAAGCTTATTTCATGTTCTTTGCTTAGAGACTGATAAAGGGACCAATCATGAGACAAATATGACATTGTGCTCTCACCGTGTGTCAGGCACTGTGGTTAGTTCTTTAAGTTCTAAGAGCTTGGGACACAGTAAGTACTCAAAAAAATCTTTTCACCAGTATCATTACATGTATCATTTCATTTAATCCTCCCAGTAGCCCAAGAGGTTGGTATTACTTATCCCCATTTTATAGGTAAATAAATTGAGGAGGAAATTGATTAAGTAACTTGCTCAAGGTCATGCAGCTAGTAAGTGGAAGAGCCAGGAATCAGATGAAGGCAGTCTGACTCCAAGATCTACACTCTTAACTACTACTCTGTATGAATGATTCTTAATCTGAGAAATGGCATACATTTAAAGAATTTAAAGGTTTATTTCTGCTTACTGTTTTTGCAATTAGTTTTTGTATTTGTGTTACTGACAGCCTTGTTTGTGTATTAAGTTTATGTAAACCTCTTTTAAAAAGTACTGAAGGGGCCGGCCTGTGGCTCACTTGGGAGAGTGTGGTGCTGACAACACCAAGTCAAGGGTTGAGATCCCCTTACCGGTCATCTTTAAAAAAAAAAAAAAAAAAAAAAAAGTACTGAAGG